GGACAGAGAGGCCAGGAGGACTGGTTATATTGGGACAGGTGAGTACAACAACACACTCTTTGCACACACTCTCCAGATGAGAATGTCAACAACCGGCGTTGTGTGCGTGCACTACCCGGCTGGTGTGTAAAAACTGTGCAGCTCTCCTTTTGCTTTATTATATGAGTTTGTATTGTTATATTATACATATATATTTATATATGTGTTGTTTGCCTTGGTGATGTTTTATTATGCTTTTGATTATAAAAGAAGTGGCAGGTCATGTCATTCATGTGTCCTTGTAATGCCTATTTCACCCGCCGTGGTGACTTTTTATTTATTGTTGGCCATTGTTTGTCTATTGTCTCTTTTTCCGGCTAATCCTAGCGAGGCAACACTTATGAAGGCAAATATAGGCCTATATGTACATATATTCGATCATCAGTTCTACGCACAGGCTGCAAAGTGCGTTTATAGAGAAGAAGGAACTTACTGCTGTTTTTGGACATCAGGACTTGATGGACTTGAAGATGTTTTTATACGTTGACAGTCTATTTTGTAAAGTAGTTCTATCATTTAACCTTAACGCTGTAACATCTACTCAGAGTACATTTTAACATGACCTACCTTTTACTTTTTGCCTGAGTACATTTTTACACAAGTAGGCACTTTTCCTTGAGTAAAATGTCCTAAAAGTAACATTACATTAACTTGAGTGCAATATTCTAATACTCTATCCATCCCTGCTAATAATGTAATAGTATAACACTGACTGAGGTCATTTTGCATAATGAGTACTTTTACTTTTGACACATTTGTTGCCAAAAGTTCTGCTCTTTCACTTTCACAAATATGCATGACTCATACCTGCACTTGAAGGTACATGTCTTTCTATAGTGTGATATTGCTTCTGTAACTTAATGATTAAGGGATTTGTCATTAATTATTTGTTTTACCCCATATCCTGCCTGAGATGCAGTTCTCAGTTGGGTAGGTCTGAGAAGATCCTCAATCATCCCCAGCCAAAATAAAGAGACCGTTGTTCTCCCTCAGTTAGTGTGTTCTTACCGCACAGTAATACCACCATCTTCTGGTCACTGCTTTTTACTACATTGTATAATGGCTTTGGAGCTGAGGCCCACAATGCAAATTAGCATCGTCATGTAGAAGCTGCACTACAGAGCAACTGTTTGGTTCTGTTTTTCCCTTGTTAAAGCTAAAACCACTGATGTAACCTGATCATATTTACGTGTAAATGTTGTTGAGGCTGCCATTAAGGTACCTGATGGGAAATGATGTTGAGTTGCATGTCTAACATGTAGATTTGGTATCAAAATAACAGTTAAGCTTCAAGGGCAAATGAGTAACTTTTATCTATATGACTACATCACAACTATATATACTCACTACTGTACACCATTGACTTGGATCAAAGTATTTTGTGCCTATCATAACTGATCCTAACTGGCAATAAAAGAAAAAATAAATATAGATAAACACAATTGGCAGTAGCTGCTGTTTTCAGTTGGAAATGACCAAGAACAACATGAAATAAGTCTTAAATCTTCATATTTATTTATTTATAAGTAGTTCTCTGGTTTGCAACATATATGCCTGTTGTACAAGGAATATTACAGAGAGGTACATGTTTTTAAATTTGACTCTGTCATGTACATAGACTTGTCCAAACAAGGGAGACGTTGCCCGTATAGCTTTAGGCAGTGTCGAATCTGCGTTGTAGTTTCCCCACAAATGTCAAAGGTATAGCATTAAAGGGCACATGACGCAGTCAAAACCTCGTCCACATCGCACATGTACTACACCACTCAACCAATCAAAGAGAAGCTGAATAATCACATCATCAGGGAACACTCGGCATCATTTCCAATCATTCAAATTCCCCTCCAACACAATCACCGGAATATTTGTCCATGCATACATAAGTATACTATATATGGTAAAAAATATAGCATTTGGAATAAATACTTGTATCATTTATAGAGCAAACTGTCAGACAATACTTGTTATATATTTTTCACAATACTGTATGTACATGTATTTCGGTTACTTTACAGGAACAGATAAAACTATATCGTCAACCCCATGTGAAACAGATTTGATTTCACTTCTTTGGTGTTGAGCCAGTAATGAAACCATATTACATCTGGGTCACACTGGATTAAACATATGGATGTGATTTACTTCAACACTTAATACACAGGCACGGAAGACCAGATATACTAGATATTACACACCGCACAGATCGGATCATCCTTTAGCTGTCCGACACACGGGAAGCTACACAGACTCTAACTCACATCCCTCAATATACAGACAACTGCAAATGATCACATGTGCTGCACTGAGTTAAAATAAATTCTTCTCCTGAACCTTGTGTAAATGCAGCCTCATTGTTGAGGAAATCTGTGCTACTTTGTGACTCAACAAAAGAGGATCTGATTACTAAGCCACTGTTGAAACAAAATCCCATTGTTGCTGAGTAAATGCAGCCATTGTGTATACAACTACATAATCAAGATACTTTATATAGCTCGTCTAGCTTCATGTGAATCTATGTAGTCTCATGTTAGCATCCATAAAAATAAAGTGTCTGGGAATGAGGGAGCACTGGTGCAGCCTCAGTGGTCAGTTCACACTGCAGCCCAGAAAGAAAGTTGTTAATTGCAGCACTACATTACTGTAGGCATGGCAATGTCTGCACCAAAATCTCTCCTCCTCTGTAGAGAGCGATTTTATTTTCTGACTGTGAATGCAGACTGGACCTTAATAGATCACATATGGCAGTTGTTAAAATGAGTGGTATTCACCTTTTTAAATTCCACCTTCAGTAACCCCAGCAAACCCCAGTCGAACAGAGAACAGTTGGTTGATGTCTTCTCTGGGGGAGCTTCGTGAAGACAGGGTGACCAGACAATGGCATTAGAGTTATTGTGTAGCGGTAAACGTTTATAACAGAAAAGCTGTGGTTCAAAGCGGAGGCTGTTCCCTAGGGCTGCACCCGATTAGTCAACTAATTGGTCTTTTTGGTCTTAGGCGACTAAGATTCCTTTAGTTGTTTTTTATGCTTTTTTTCCTGCTGAATGACTTGTTCACAAGAATCTTATGATCACATCTCTGGTAAACTAAAGATTTGAAGTCGTGCTTTGTGGAGTTTTACAGATCTGTCAATTAAATCAACACCGTATGAGTGTTAGTCGACTAAGAAGTTCTTTGGCCGAGGACAGCACCTACCGTTTGCAGGTGAAATGATTGATCCCTTTTGTTTTCTGTAAACTTCCTGACCTGTTAGACATTTTGGGGTTTTCTGCAGGGGTCACTGAAGGGGAGCTGTTACGTTGTAAACATTGAATCAGAACAGTACTCCTGTTTCAAGATTCTTTAGGAATATGGGTGTGCGTTTGTGGAAAACAGAAGAAGACGTCCACGCTCCCTGGAACACATCTTATCTCTAACGTAATACGGTCATCTGATTAAGGCTGGACCAAAGCCCCTCCCCCTATAGTTTCTGATTTAAAAGTTAGTATTTTATTCATATTGCTTCTTTTCAGACTGCAGCCATAAAAAACTCATCACTTTTGGTTTTAACACATCATTTTGAAATGTGAATTCCTTAAAGCAGGAACAAAGTGAACCAGTGTTGGTAACTTGAAGATCAGATCTTTGTTATCAAGATTAAGTGTCTTTAGTAAAAATATTCAGACTCATTCCTTTGTCTCCGTTAGTCCCATAATCCATGCCAGTACAGTTAGACTTGCTACATTGTTTTCTTGGAATGTATCATTGCCAGCCTGACATTCATGGTGCATTTTGTAGCAGTTGCATACAGGATTTGATTTGAAACGAGCAGGCAAACAAGACATATGCTATATTTGAACTGAGGGACGAAGAGAGAGAGAGAGAGAGAGAGAGAGAGAGAGAGAGAGAGAGAGATATGTTTATCATGAGAACAGACAGTATTACAACATACTGCTGTTTGTTTAGTATTATAAGCCAGCCAGTAGGGGGAGTAAGTGTGTATTGGCATGCAGCACCTTCTGAACTGTACAATCTTCTTATTAGAAAACGTTTGTCTTTCTTTAATCTGGTTATGTTGTGGTTATAAAATGAATTTATTTTGTGTCCAACTGAAAACATTTTATCTACAACTAAACCATTTAGTCTTTCAATAATTCACCCATGACTCGATGTGAAAAACATCATTACTATGGCAAAAACAATACAATAAATATTGTCAAATATCCACTGAATGATGGGAAATTTCACACGAAGTTCTATTCTATAATTATATAACATTATTTTTTTTATAATTCACACTTTTGGAGATATATAGTTTCTTAGAGAGGACTGTTTACTGTACACAAACACAATAAAAAAAAGGTGCAGTAGAAAATACAGTTTCTGTGTTTGTGTATGATTATAATGCGTTAGAATAACATTCTACACATACTGTGTTCTCAACAATGGCTATGTCCAAATATGAAAAGAATAATGCCAATGTCATGAAGGAAAAAATAGAAATGATGTCGTATTTAATATCGTATATTTAAAAGGTAGATCATGTGCTTAGTATTTAGCTAGAAGAGCTATAGTTGATGATAAGAAGCAGCAGCTTGTCAGAGCATCTCTTCATCCACTTGCCAGTCCGTCTGTCCCTGCTGCCCTTTTTATATTCCCCCCCCCCCGACGTAATAGCCTGTCAATTCGTCACCATGGCCACGCTTTAATCATCAAATCGACCGGGCCCCGTTTGTCGTCTGTCCACTGAGTGGCTGAATGCAGCATATCCATAAACACCCACGGGGCATGTTGGCAGAGATGTGGAAGAAGAAAAATGTGTGCGTACACTCTGGTCTCAGAGGTTTAATGCAGTTCCATGGTAAACAGAGTTTATCCACTTTTTTTCTTCCGGGCATACAACGTCTTGTATGGTGTCATCGTGTCTTTAATTCAATTCATTTCATTCCTTTTCCCTCTTTGTTGGTGGGCAGAGAGTCTTGGAAATTAAAAGGTTGGCGGTTGGCGAGCTGGAGTGGTTTGGAGATATTAGGTGTCGGCCTGGTTCAGAGGAGGTCCGTGGTAAACGAGGGCTCAGAGGCTCGGGTCTCAGCGTGGGCCTTCAGGAGGTCAATTATCTCTTGGTGGGAGGCTCCCTCTGCCACCGACAGCGCTGTCTGTCCATCCTGGGGAAGAACAGAAGGGGATGTCAAAGATCATTGCAGTGACTCTTTTTATCCTGACAGTGGCAGTGTTGCGTTGCTCTTTCATTAGAAACTTGACTTTGAAATTATAGTTCATGTGTATGTACTGCAACTGCCCGATGCAGGCAATACTACATGGCTGTAAACATCATTGGAAGAGCTGGGTTCAGTATCTGGAAATAGGTTTTTAGCATTTTTCCCTTCTTGAAATGCCAGATGAGATTATGATTTGTTACATTGTAAATCTGATCTAATCATTTTCTCCTGAGCAACAAAGATTACAATAATAATATCCACTGACAAGCTTCTCTGCATCATGCAGAAATTGCCTGTGAAATGGGCCAGGTTAAATCAGTCGCCTGGGGAGGACACTAAGGACGTAATAAAAGGGAAATGGGGAAATGTCTGAAGGCATGCGAGACATAAACATCAGTAAGACCATTTTTGACACTTTAATAGAAGAACTCATTTATCCAGACCCAATACAAATACTGCAACAAAAGACAAAAAAATCTGAAAATAAGCTATTTATGGACCAACAAATGTTGCATCTGCACTTTTTTCCTTAAAAATGCATAAGCTTTACAGAGATCCTCTGAACACTTAAACATGGATGGTTTTAATTTGTTTGTGGTTTTGCTCTAGATGTTTGCCTGTAGATTCACCAATATTGGTGATGCAGTTTTTTTTTTGGCTTATTTTCAATTTCTGTATTCATCAATAGCTCAGATATGTGTTGCTGTCTCTCATCAAACACATCATACTCATTACTCGTGGCCATGCTCTACTAGATCAAAAATGATAAAGCTCAATCCTCTGTATAGTTCTGAGATTGGTTGTGTGTGCTTGACACTGAATCGATTTAAGAAAGAAGAAACTTGCTCTATAATGCTGTTGGTAACTTGCTGCATCATTGTCACAGTGTGTCCTTGTGTTTCCATTTTATTCTTTTTATCAAAGGCTCAATATTAGACAATGCAAACTAGAACAGACGATGTTGCATGCTGAGAGAGCCCTCCTGTCTCATGGGAACACAAACATCACTTAACGGAGTGAGTGCTGTGTATTATAATTTGTGTATATTTCATAAACCTGTTACACAAACCATTTGACTTACTTGCATATCATTTGAAATTGCTTGCCAGAGCTGCTTATTTCCTGCTTATTTCCTCAGTTTTGAGATAATGTCTGTCCCCGACTAGCACTAAATATAGTGCATGCTCATGCGTTGTCATGGAGTCAACACAGCAGGTAATCTACCAGAGGCACTGTGTAGATTAATGTCGGGCATCCATGTGCTGAATTCAAATCCAGGTCAAACAATCTACTGAACCGTTGCACTGAAGACTTCTCATGATTTAGGCTAACATGGGGCGAGTGTGTCCTCTGAAGTCCCATCCCGCAGAACTGGGCAGGAAAAAGTGTTCCACAAATGCTTCAATGCTATACTTGCATCGGAAGCAGCAACATGTTGAATAAAGAGTGACAATATTTGTTTCCTTTGGACACAAAGCCTGCGGTTTGATGCAGGTGTGAAGGTGGGAAATGTTTCATGAGTTTCAGTAGCAGTAATGCAGTCGTGATGTGGCGTTCTCTGACTGCGCTCCTTGAGCTGCAGAGGAGAATCGACCATCTAGAGAAATCAATAATGTACTAGGTTGAACAATCAATCTACCATGTGTGGGCCGGGCACCAGCTACTGTATGCTCTGTGCCCTAACTGGGCAACTGACACTGACTGCAGGGGCAGCACAATATCTACTGATATATCCTACAGTACGTGTGTGAGCCAGGCACCATGAGCCCTGTGATCTTTCTGTAGCACAACAGGCAGATAACTAGGTGTTGAAATGAAGCAGTGATCCCTGGCATCTCGGTGAAAAATGAACCCTCGTTGAGTCGAGGCAGCTGATATCTCTGCCTACAAGAGAGCACCATCTTGGATGAAAGGTGAAACAAGTCCAGTCGTACCTTGTCCATGAGGCTGGTGTCGCAGCGACCTGTCTCCAGCAGCATATGAACGATGTTTATATGTCCGTGTTCGCTGGCACACATCAGGGCCGAGGAGCCCTCGCGGTCCTGGGCATTTACATCCGTACCGCAGCTCAGGAGCAGCTTTACCATGGCAACGCGGCCGTGGCTCACCGCAAGCATGAGTGCCGTCTGGCCCGCCTAGAGAAAGAGTGAGAGATACAGATAGTTAGAATTAAACGGTGAGAGGGAAGACATTGGGGGGGGGGGGGGATAAAGAGATGCAGGCTTGGAGATGAGGGAGGAAGTAGAAGAGAAAGAAAAGTAAGTGGAAAAATAGAATGTGCATGATGCTTGTACATTGTTTTCTGTTTACACTCTAGATGTCCTCACTGTTGAGAAAGAACCGCTGAAATGATGGTGTATTCCTGTAAAGTGACCCACTGTAATGTCCTAAGATGCATTGATTTCCCCAGAGGAGTTATTAAATCCCCAGACTTACGGCGCCGGAAATACAACAATAACACATCAGACAACAAGAGCAAATCCATCAATATTCAGTCAGTTTAGTGGACCCAATGATTCAGGGCAGACATATTACCTGTCTGGAGCATGCATTGACGTCACCCAGTCTCAACAGTTGTTGCGCAACCTCCAGGTCATCAGAGCTCTCAGCAGCCGTCAGTGCAGCGAGCATCACTGGAGTATAGCCTGCCTTGTTCACATTGTCCGTCTCACACAGACCTGAAAAAACAAATGTTTTAAGAAGTCAAAGAGAGCATTTCATGCTATTTCGTGCAGAGTTTAACTGCCTTATCTAGACACTTTTTATTTTGGTAAATTCTGTATTTAAGCTCCTCTGGTTCTTTCAGCTGTATGTTTCACTGTGTGTGTGTTTGCATTTCACCAGTATCCAGCAGCAGTTTGACCACAGGGAAGTTTGAATGCGACACACTGTAGTGGAGGGCCATGTTCCCATTGCCGTCGGTCAAGTTAATGACGTACGGCAGGAGAGTGGGCGTGGTCAAGCCCACTCGTCTCAGGTATAATGTGACGGTATCGGCCTGCGATTCTTTCTGACTGGAGATCTTGAACCACTCCTGGTAGAGCACCACTAAAACCTGACGCTGGGGAGAGAGGAAGGAGGGAAACGATATAAAGGAAAAAGCCGCCTGTGGCAGCTTTTTTATTGTTCCATCAATGTTCGGGTTGTTGAGCAGCTTGTATTGTCGTCCTAAGGAGCGGCACTGTAAGCCACATTATTCTAGCCAGTGAAGTCAAAGAGCTCTGACAAAACATCGACAAAGAATCTGAATCATTTTCCCTCAACAAAAATAAATTGTATCCGTTTTTTCAGAAACTGAATAACTGACTAACCGACAAGCATGCACATTAACTTTTCAGTCAAATCAGATTTGATAAAGTACACAGAATTACTTTCCACAACGTTGAAGAATAGAAACGACAGCCGATAGAAAGTTTTACCATTTCTTTATCTGGTGACGACACCTCTTCCATTCGGTCTTTTACATAGATGCAGGCGTCTATAAACCCCTGGTCAATTTTCTCTCTGCAAACAAAGACCAGATGGCACAGTAAGTCTTTTTTTTGTTTTTTACCCATCCTAAACAATTCCAGCAAGAGCTTTCAAGCGGACCAGGAGTATCAAGAGGTGTAAAAAAACATTCATATTCAAACCAACACACCCCACATTTGTTCTTTCCCTGGTTCTCTTTAATGCCATCAATCCTGCACAACAGGCCACGAGATGGCTGCTTTAGTTATTGTGTAAATCCTGAGATGAAAACAAAAGATAAAAGATGCCTTGCGGGCCTCTGCAGTGTAGACACACACACACACACACACACACAAACACACATCAGTCAATTGTCTGACGCATTGATGGCGCATGCAAACCTCAACAGTAGCAGTTTGAACTGATTCACTGCCCAATAATATCCACCATGCGCTCCTGCTGCTCGTCTATCATGCACAGTCATACTGAACATCTCAAGCAGCGCTAAGCCCGAGCGGATCACACTCTCACTGTGCCCTGTACTCCAGCCAGAGCACACGCATACTATACGTACAAGCACACACACACATAGGAATGATCAGACAGGTGCTGAGTAATGAGTTAATATAAGTCCTGCCTTCTCGCAGGGGCCCCATCTACTTTCAGGGCCCTCAACCCTGTCCACATACCTGAGACAGATAAGTGATAAGTCAGTGACAGGGAGGACAACACTGCTGGTTATTTGCTTCTTGTTCTAGACACCTGGCACTTTGGGGAATGAAGTGTATCCGTGTGATTGTCTGAGACCTTGATTAGAGTGAGAGCAGCTTATACTGAAGTGTTTAGGAGCAAGTTGTGTTGTGTTTGTGCAACACTTATGTATGTGGAAACCAGTGTGCATGTAGTGTGTATGAAACAGAGGCTTATAGTGTGAGTCTGCAAGATATTAAGAGGTAAGGGGGGGTTGCACGAAAGTGTAAGTAGGTATGATTGTGTTTTAATTGGATTTCTGTGTATATGTGTGTGTGTGTGTGTGTGTGTGTTTGTGTGTGTGTATGTGAGTGTGTGTGTGCGCGCGCGCATGTGGCCCACAGTATATTGAAGCATCATTCAGCACCTGTATATAGACTGCAGCTGGACACAAAACAAAGCACTGACTTGTACTTACCCAACATATGTCACGCTGTCATCTATGTGACTGTGCTTTGATCGCTTTATATTCCTTGCATTTGACTCTGTTTACTCTTTCATTTGATTTATGATATGAGCTGCAGTGAGAAGGTCAACCTTGTTTGATTACTGAATATGAGACTATTCTTTGGAGTTGCCGTGTTTATGCTCTTCTATTCACTGTGATGAGAGCGTGGGTCACAGTGAGCATTCAGATTTTTAAGAAAAACTTGCCTCGTGTATATTTTTCACTATCAACAACATCTCTACCAGCAACAGAAAGAAGTCAGTGCTGACCAATCACAGTTCATTGGGTACCCATGAATAGTGCATAGGCTCCAGAGCTATGGCGTAACCCCTGCTGAGCATGATTGAAGCTTTACTGTCTCACCCTTCAGCCTGTTCTTCCAGGAGCTCCTGGCTGCCTTCTATATCCAAAAGGCCTCTTTCACCCTCCTCCTCTGCAGCCACAGCACCTCCTCCCTCAGTGGAGACCTCTGCATCCTTCTGCTGCGTCTCTGCTCCCTCCTCAGGCTTGTCTGCTGGCTGAGGCTCTGTCTCCTTTTCCTTCTCCACCTCTGGTTCTGAGCTGTCTTCTTCCTCTTCCTTCTCCACCTTCGACTTCTCATCTCCACTGGACTCTTCGCTGGATGTCGACTCATAGCTGGAGGTGGACACAAACAAGTGGACATGCACAATATTCAGAGCATAGACACCAAAATCATCCACATTATACCATCTAGAATAAAGCTTTTGTGTACTCCACCTGTGTTGAATGCAAATAGGTGACCTAAAAAGTGAGGAAATACTATTTAGCTTCACAGATATCCATCTATAAATGATGCAGTACGGGCAACATCTGGTCTATCATTAGCTTTGGAACATTTAACTCAGGATTCATCACTAAAAGTACTGTGTACAGAAATTAGACATAGTATCCAGAAGCAGCCACATCAATGAAAGACCTAAGCAGGTACAAACGAATATGAAAGCTGATAAGTCAACATACGCCAAGGCTAGGTAAATGCAAACAGATCATTACCCTCTAGACCTCAAGCGTGACATGAGAAAGATGATTGTCTAATGCAACCTTGACCCACATGTCCAGAACTTCCTTCACACAGTTAAACATATACATGAAAATCCATAGGCATGTTTGCACAATTACATACGCAAGCTTGGACAAAACCCAACCTTGTTCAGTGAGGAAAGGCTGATGACTTTTTACGTGTGTGTGTGTGTGTGTGTGATCATTTGGGTGTATCATGAAGGAACCTCTGTGAGGCCAATGATCAGATAAGTCTTATACTGAATGCCACTGATTCATGCTTATTTGTAGAAACACACACACACACACACACACACACGCACGCACGCACGCGCGCGCGCGCGCACACACACCCACACACACACAGAGAAAGACACCACACCACAAGAGGCATTCAGGGGCCACAGCATTCCCTGGATTCCAGAGGAACTCAAGGGAGAGCAAAGATAGGTTAGACCATCCAAAGAGAAGAGATGCAAACAGTAGCCCACTTCCTGGTGTGGGCAGAAGACTAAAGATAGTCAAAGAAAATATTGTTGTCTGCCATGTTTGTCTCATTATAAATAGCATCTGTAACATAGAAATGGAGAGATATTTATTGTCAAGAACAAGAGTTGAAAACTCGGGAGAGATATACTATATGTGGACCATCATATATAACGTATTAATGGTTATATCAGGAGCAGCATAAATAAATACTCTACAGGAAATAACCACGTGGTAAAGCCTATTTTTGAGTAAATAAAATACTTTATACAAAATACGAAATTCAAGTTAGTATATGCTTATCAGCAATTAAGATGTTGGAATTGTGTATTATGATATCTTAATAAACAAAATCTGGTCCCAATTTCTTTTTATAGCACAAAACTTGGTTTTGCTTAGCTGTGTAGGCTAAAGGTTAGAATGACACGTGTAGCAGTTATGGTTAAGGTTAGGTTAGGCATCCAGGAGATTTTTGGCCCTGTTCAGACTTGGCATTGATATGAGTCTTGGTGGTCCGCTCACAAGTGGACAGCTCTAACTACAGGTGTGAATGCATTGAGACCCTATTGCTCAGACCACATTCAGAGGTGGCCCCATTATTTTAGCAGTGTGTATGTAATAGTGTCCTTGGATGAAGGACCACCTACTCAACTGATGGGTGTGTGTGTGTGTGTGTGTGTGTGTGTGGGTCTGTTCTTCAGTGTCCATCTGACGGTGTAAGTAAGTGCTTGTACGCATATGTGTGCAGTTCTCTGTATGAGTGCGGGTGTGTGTTTGTCTCTACTGTGTGAAGCTTTAAAGAAGTACTTGATATACTCATGGAGGTCATTTCAGAGATATTGCCCAACAGCTTGTAATTTGTATTTCCCCTATATTAACTCTGGCAGCGGCTACAAACAGGTTTGGTATTGAACGACATCCTAACGTGCTGACGGATTCAGTGCTTTTATGTTTTTAGCTGAACTAGACCAGAGAGTATTTGGTAGAAACTGATCGGTGATACTTTTTGCCCTCATTGGTCTCCATGACGTTTGCTGGAAGTGATGAGCCCCAGTTCATTTTATGTGGAGAGCTCTGTGCCGGACTCCATTTAACAAATTATTCTTTAAATTCTACATTGCTCTTCAGCAACCGGTCATATAGTAACTTAGGAGGCAATTAGGCCTCATAACACACCAGTCCTAATTTAGATTTCTGACGTATATGTGTTTGTTTGCGTATAGAGCGGGGAAGTGAGATCCGATCACGAGTGGTCACTCGAGACACATGTGGCGATGCATTCTAATGCCAGATGTGAGCAGATGTACTTGGAGCTGTCAGTTGTGATAGGATTACCCAAGATGCATGTTAATGCCAGGTCTGGACAGGGCTGCTTGTGTGTGTGTGTGTGCGTTTGTGTCTATACAGGTGCTTCATGTTATAAGTGTAACACCAGACACCTACCTATAATCACATCAGCCAGAAAGAATAATCTCCCTGCTTTGAGACACACCTTTGATCTTCCAACCACTTCAATCTGCATACTTAAAATGCATCAGTTTACCCACACACACACACACACACACACACACACACACACACACACACACAC